TTTAAACTAACGGAGCTAAACGTGATCTGCTGAGCATAAAATTTGCTATGTTACGCACTTGTCTTGTAAGACGGAGACAACATACGCGGGTGTAGCGTCCTCTTAAATATTCAGTATTCCGGTATACTAGTAGATATTTTAGTACCTACCTACTCGAGTTGGTACTCGATTATATATACACATTACAACACATATCATAGCATATATAATTTCAAATTAACCTTCATTAGTTCTTTTACGCGTTTAGTAGATAGGTATATCACGATATCATCTCTGTTTCTTGTCATCTATCAAATCGAATTCCATATTCAAATTGTTCACATTGTACTCAGGAAATTTTAGTATGTTGAATTAACAAATTGAACTAATTGTACTAATTTAAAAGAATTATTTTTGATATTACTGTGATTTCAGTTTGATCTACTGGTGTGGTAAGTTGAATTTTTTTTGAGTAATTTTACGTTTTAAGCACAAAATGACTGACCAGAAAAAACACACCACATAATTATAGGACAGCCATGTTTCGAGATCTATTCACGTTCTATACGGCTAGGTATATAATATATAATTTTCTAATCCAAGTGGATTTTTTTATGAAACTCTACTAAAAAGAAAACGATTGTAAAATATAATAAGATGCTTTAAAACTATAAAAGTGAATTTACACCAATAGAACTTGGAAATTAGGGCTTCAACTTCGAAATAAAATCTTRTACCGGAGCGGGTTAGGGTAATAAAATTTAAACAAATATTTRTAGAATATATAAACCTCCTGTTCAGTATTTTAGTTGGGATAAACGGCGCATACACTATAATTATAATTTGCTCAAACGCCGTTTAAAATAACCTCCGAAATTTAGAGTCGAGTCGGCGGGGATGTTATAAAGGRAATATTACCCTGCAGGGATACTGMAAGCAACCCCATCTTAATCTCTATTTTCTGCGAAGCACTTCCAATTCGCTCCTCGCCGTTTATATTGTGCACAATAATGTTATATACTTATAACCCCGCATACACAGTAAATATCATCAAACGGTATCATTATCGTGGTCGTGGTCGTACCTGTATGGCGTTGGTGACATTCCACGCGGCTTGCCATTCGTCGATCTTGTGCCGGCCGCGACCGAACTCTCCACCGCCCGACGAGTCCTCGTCAAAGCTACCGTCGTCCATGCTGAACGCTTGCGGCGTCCTCTTAATGACGCCGTCGCCGTCCACACCGCCGTCGCGTTTTTCCACCCCGCCGTACGACGAKAGTTCCGAGTTGCACGTGGTCCGGAACGGGTTCGTGTCCGGTTTCCCACCGCCCTGCAACCGGTTCCGCTCCGCGTCCACACCGTCGGCCGACCCAGTCCCAGTCCCGGCGGACGATGCACCCGCCGCCGAACGATCGCCGCGACGTTTCATGATGGCTTCCACGCACGGGCTATCCTCGGGAACGTACGCCTTGACGGCGGCCCACACCACGTTCATGGCGGCCCCGAACGGCGGCACGTAAAACCGACCGAAATTGGCCATTGACCGCCGCTACAGATGTAGTGCCGGCCACCTACCTATATACGACGACTGCAACTGTTGCAGCAATAATACCTGCTGCACTCGCACGCACTGCGGCCACGGTCCTAATATTATATATATGACAAGAATACGCGATGTATTAAAATGTGGTCTGTGCCTAGTCAAGAGCGAAAAAGAAGCAAAAAAAAAAAAAATTATTTTAATAATTTTAATAATTAATGAAAACGATTGATGAGTTTAAGGTATAGGTAGGTAGGCCGTTATATTATTATAATAACGATGTTTTTACTACAGCCACCGCCGCCGCCGTTTCGAATGCCGATGTAATAGTGGTCGCTGCCACCGCTGTCTCCACTGTACGCATATTTTTCCCGACCAGCCTGTAAAATGAGACGGACGTGCTGCAGTGCTTGAGGGTGAAAAACGAAAACAGGAAAATCAAAATGAAGACGAAAGCGGTGTTGGATGTAACGGGGATATAAACGCGGAAGCCGTGTGTCGTCGCGGCGCGGAGCGGAAGCGTTTGGGGAAACCGCGTTTGGGACGGTCGCGGGAGGGGRTTGGTGGTCGGGCGACGGCGCGGATCGATGAAAAGCGGGCGACCCATCTCCTCGCGCCCTCTCACACCCACAGCCACCCATTAGCGRCTCAACGCATTCTAGTGACAAAATATTCTSTATCGGTATACGCGAGGTGGACCCAGTCGCTGATCAGTCTGATCTATATAACTATGTATAGTATATTATATTATTGTAGTTAACCTTCCGCCTAACCACGCGAAAAACGGATATCAGGAATTGGGGGGTATATATATAAAATACATTATTGTATCATAACGCCGGCTAGTGATGTTAAGTAAACTGTTTATTCTAAATCCGAAGTAATTTAATTTTTCAAATATTTCTAAATTAGAAACGGTTCAATGATATTCTTAAAT